ACAGAGCATCCTAAGAAAGGGTTTCCTGTTAGGTTTAGTTCTCTCTCTAAATTTGGAGATGTCTAACCCTGTATGATGAAGAGCATTAAGTGTTTTTGTTCATTCACAGATGCCATAGTGAAGCATAACTTTAATACCTCCTGGGACAGGGTAGGTGGCTGTACACTGAGACACCCTAAGATCTTGATGACTACAATGCCCAATAATTTTTAAATACTTAATTATTGGTATTATATATTAAATGTTATTCCAAAATGTCCAAAAACTTTAGACTAAAACACTACTCACAGGGAAACTTCCAACTGTGTGATCTAATAGCCCCTTGGTTTCACAAATTTTAGAATGTATGTACTTTTCTGGCAAGACACCTTTTCCACATTTTCAGAATATACTGTAACTCTTATTACATAAACACACACAAACAGAAGAAGCTGGTTTTAAAACTTAAGAGTCTTTCCACAAGTAAAAGGACCATTTTTTTCAAAGTTTATCAGTGCTTGTAAAGATCATAACTTTGCATTATGAAGTTGAGAAGTATAAATAAAACTATCAGGCTGACCAGTACAAGGTTTTGCTTGAAAAGAAATGGCTACATTTCACATAAAATAATAAATTACCTATAAGACAAAACAAATGAAAAAGAAACTTTGGAAGGAATTTTTTTATCTAGATTAACTGTCGTTTTGCAAACAGTTGTATTATGCCAAGCCTTGGGTGAAAAGCTCCCATGCAAAAAAATGTAGATAATACTAGAAGTGACAACACTTATGCTACAATAATGGAAGGGATACTTCAATAAACCCTAAAATATAACTTCAGTATTTTTAATAGCAAACATGAAAATATCTTCTTTGTTTTTAAAATACTATGTAATTATTCAAAGCACTTTCAGATATTTGATCAATTGGTTCTGTCTGCAAATAATTCCTGTTTTAACACCCCTACACTGCATTTATACATGCATTTATGAAACTAGATTAAAAGGTATATAGCGTTTTAGAGTATAACCTGAATAATCACACAGACATGGACCAACATTTATTACAAACAGAAAAAGAGCAGATCTATAGGAAAAGAGTACAGATTGTTTTTTAAAACGATTCCAAGTTGAAGAAATTATAATCTATATGTAATGTAATAATTCTATCTACATTCAAAAATCACATTGCCCAATATATACAAAACATCATAAATACAGTAGTTTAAACTGCTACTTAAAGGTACTGAACTACTATGAACAGTGAAGTTTATTTCAACATAGGTCACTCATGTTCCATTCTGAGATTACTTCCATTTTCCAAGAAGAAAAGTGTTTTTAAGAGTAATTTTCCCAAGTAGAAAGATTATTTTGAAAAACTGAGATGTGTATTTCACAAACTGTTGTTTATAAGGATTCACATTTTCAATTTTTTAAATAAAAAGCAATCAATTCTCTATACACTTTTATTCAATAATTACAGCTTTCACAGACAGCAAGATACAGTGTTGCTATTACCAGCAGCATTACCGTCTTCATTTCTCCTTCAGCTATCAATAAAAAACATAATCCTTTCTTATGAATTTGTCCTGATTGAAAATAAATTACTTCTAACAATAAGATATTATCACTTCTTACATGCTGTCACATTACCTAATTACATGAAAAGCTACAGAAACCACAAAGGGAGAGAAGGGAATGACTTACAAAAGAATATAGCAAAGTGTAAATTTTCTCAATTTTGTGATAGTGACCCCTCTGACAACTCTAAAAGTGGGTTATTTAAAGAGGATTGAGACTCTGGGTCTTCCACTTAACTCTAGTATTTAAAAGCTCACATTTCTTGAATTCAAAAATGTACTACACACACACTACAGATTTAAGACACCTTTATATATCAATTTTTCCTTTAAAACTAAGCAGAACTATTTCAATATTGTAACAACTACATTTAGATCCTAGTATTTGATAACTTGATAACTCTATCACTTTAAGAATAGTCATACAGTTGTCTGCTCTTATGACAGTCAAATCATGTAGCATAGCAGTTTTAGAATTCAAGACTAACGCAACACTTTTCACAGGCAAAATTGTGATCTCCTAAATATAATATATGCAACACTAAAGTAATATGGCCTAGTTTTGAAATTATATTATAAATACACAGATGTTGCCCTTTCATTAGAACAAGAGAAATTTACCTCTAACAATTCCTATGCTTTTGCAAAACAAACAAACAAGTAGGTAGATAGATAGATAAATAAATAAATAAAAACAAGTAATGGGTTAAGGATTAAATTTGAGAGCTCAAATTTTATACAAGTAGCTAGGAATTGCTAAATGTTCATTAGTATGAGAAACGCTGATATACTGGCAAATACTTAAGATATCAGATTAGTCCAATAACCTCCTTGATAAAAATTATAAAATGCTCTCATTTGCAATTGATGTTTCAATAAACGCAAAACAGAAACAAAAACAATCCTCCTCCAAAAACCCAAGTCCTTGTTGGGGGGTTATTTTGTTAAGTAGTATATACAAGAAATTTCTCTGAGGAAGCAATCATCTTTTGTTATTAAAGATGTATGTATTCTCCATTAGAAAAGAACTAACTGTATTCAGATTCACACACATTGATTCAGCTTAACATAAATTAATGAAACAATTTTCCCACCATGAAGTACTGAGTTACAACAAATGTATTAACCAAACTTTATTTTCTTGAGAGTGCATACAGGGTGTTTTGTAAATGCTGTTAGTATTAACCTTTAATGTAAAGACATTCTTGTTACTTCAAATTTTAATATATTGGAAATAGATTATGTATGTCTTCTCCAGATATACTAAAGGTCACACTGGGCAACATGACCAAAGATAATTAGCCTCTCATGGGCCAAAGTACAAAATGTGAAGAAAAAAAAAATAAAGAGCAAATCAAGAAAGAGAAAAACATGGCTCATGATAGGCACTTCCGAGATCAGCATTCAATTTAACTTAACTCCTAAACCAGAAATGTAAATTTTACAAAGTACACAGATAGGTTTCTTTACCATTTTTTCAAGAGATGTTTATACATATATTCATATTTTTATGTGATGTGTGTGTGAAATGACTGCAAACATTACCAACTAAATAAATCCAGTAACTATGAGCAGCTCCAAAATTATCATATGAAATGAGCCTGTTATTTACACAACTTCCAGCCTGTTGGAATGACATCTGGTCTGTCTGAGAATTCTTTTTAGAATGCAGTTATTTTTAGCTAGGAAATGGGAGAAACAGACCCACTGTGTTTATACTTACAGAATGGAGTATCTACCTGCCAATTTCAGTTTAACTTATGCTATGATGAAGTGCATGAATGGCTGAATGTTTGAGAAACTGAAAGAAATTCCTAAAAATCAAAAAGTATTACTTCATTATTAAAAAAAACTATACCAACTATGTTCACTTCTGATGAGTTTGTATAGAAGCTATTGTGTTTGTAAAGTCAAACTGGAATGCAGACCATGTACAGGTGATACAGGTTCCTTGCTTTAATGAGTATTACAAAGCAGCACTGGCTTCAGCATACTTCAGACAGGTCTAGTCACTCACCTGGTGAATTTCATGCCAGTCTACTCTGATAATTAAATATATCAAAGAAAAATGGTTCCAAATGCAAAGTGACGAAACCTTAAAGATATGGTCTTGGGCCAAAACCACATCCAGACTCCACATAAGGTACAGTCTCTCTCAGACATACAAACACACAAGCACACAAACCACATACACTACCGTACACAAAAAATTTAACACACACACACACATAATGTTCCTCGTATTGTCCAGTAATCCAACCCTCCCAAAGTAAGGCAATATAAACTATAGCACAAAAACAAAAGAGTACACTGTAGCCTCGATTTAAATCTGCTGTTGGCTGGGTCCATTCTGAGGGACACATCACAGGTGACAGACACTGTGTTGTGTTGAAGTTTCTTCAGTACTGCTGATGACTAAAACCCTTTGAATAGGTCCAAAACAGAACCATATATTATTGAATTTCAGCAACTGCGGAAACTGTTATGAAGAGGCTGCAGTGTACTTGATTATGTTGAGAATTTATATTACAAAATGAATAATATTCAAAATGAGAATATTTGACAAGTATTATAAATTATAAAAAAGATATCATTTTCAGCTTAATGTGGGTATCAAGTAGTCCCATTTCACTTTTCCATCACATTAATTTATAACCTCAATGATTACTTGGTGCAATGGTTACCAATACATTAATGCTTTATTATTATCTTGACTGCTAATTCCAGTCTTTAAAAATGGACATTTCCCTTCCAATTATAATCAAGAACGGGGCCCTTACTCTTTAAAATAAACATGCCCAACTTACTTCAAAATGGTTAGAACGAAAAATAAAAATCAAAGTAACATTGGGTAAATTACGATTACATAGATTTGAGTCACATCAGCTTATTCCTGTGTAATGTAAACTTTATCCTACAGAAAAAAATTTCTTTAAATTATTGAAGTGCTTACATTTATTGGCAAACAATGCATTTTCAGTTAAAATCTGAAACAATTATTCACCTAAATGTTTCATTTCACCAGACACTCAAAATAGCCTACGAAACTATGTTAACATTTTTGTATTTTCTTTTAATACCATTCATATTAGTTATGTAAGTAGGAATAAAAAGAAAAATGAGTTCTAAATAAATGACACAGGAGGCAATAAATTGACACATGACAAGTAAATAAAAGGCTAAAGCACTCCAATACCATTGAAACTGTTTTAATGTTGTTGCAATTCCAAAATGCAACAATCATCAGCTTGTAAAGACCCAACTTTCAAAAATTCATTTTAATTACTACTTCATACCTATTTTACAAAATAAAGGCAAGAAACATTTAAATCCTCCTTGTCCTAGTTGTACTATCTATGTTCCTAACTTGTTTGCTATCATGATAGTGTAGGCTGCAATTCCCATTATATGCTATATAAGAAAAAATAAAATAAAATATTAACCTCTGCTTCAATGTATAGTTTCCAGAATCTGCCAGAACTGGGGAACTGGGCAACAAGGCGTTCATAAGTCTTCCGTGCTTTGTCTATAGGTTGATTCTAAAATTGAAAACCAATAAACAGCATTTACAATGTTAGGATCATGAGAATATTTACTGCAGAACCAAGTAGTGTGATTGGACCCATAGAGAAGGAAATGTAATCCTATATCACTAAACCTGTGCCTCTCGAATGAGAATGCTCCAAGCGTCAAGGTCATATGGATTCTCTTCTAATTTCTTTTCAGCTTTCTTCACCTTCTCTGGGACATACTCAGCTGCCTGGGGGAAAAAAAATAACGAACTGATGTTACTGTTTCAAAAATCTCATGCCTAATTTAAGTACATGTATCAGTCCCCAATGCAACATCACAACATAAAATACAAAATAAAATATCCTCTTATTAAAAGCCTGTATTTCCTGTAATCTGTATACACTGTAAATGACTTGCTTAAAAACAAAATCAAGTGATCACATACTTCTGAAACATTTAAAATTTTAATAAATCTATCTTTTGTACTACATACTACAGAGCAGCAGTTCTCAAACTGTGATCTCAGGACCCCTTTTATGCCCTTTATGTATCAGTCCCCAATGCAACATCACAACATAAAATACAAAATAAAATATCCTCTTATTAAAAGCTTGTATTTCCTGTAATCTGTATACACTGTAAATGACTTGCTTAAAAACAAAATCAAGTGATCACATACTTCTGAAACATTTAAAATTTTAATAAATCTATCTTTTGTACTACATACTACAGAGCAGCAGTTCTCAAACTGTGATCTCAGGACCCCTTTTATGCTCTTAAAAATTGAGTACACCAAAGAGCTTTTGTTTCTGTTATTATATAATATCTACTATGTTAGATATTAAAACAGAACAATGTTAAGCATTCATGGACAAATAACAATAAAATTATTTACATGTTAATTAAGTAACACTTTTACAAAAAATAACTTCAAATTCAGTGAGAAGATCCCTGTTTTACATATTTGTTTCACATCTGACTTAAAAAAGTGTAACTGGATTTTCTTATCTGCTTCTGCATTCAATCCGATGCATTACCACACCATGTAAAAATTCCACCATATAGTTTATGCAAGATTAAAACTGAAAAAGGCAATGTCTTAAATTAATTATGAAACAATTTGGACTCACATATCCTCTGAAAGTCTTAGGAACACTCAGGGTCCCTGAACCAACTTTGAGAAATACTGCTTATAGAGCATTCATCCTGAGCTACAAAGAAAAAGCATGAAATGACATGGAAATTTTATTTTTGATGTAAAAGTGTTAAAAACATGATTCACAAACTGTATATATAGTATGATTCAAAAAAACTATGGAACATCTGCAATAAAAGAAATTTTAAAAGATTTTACTAAAATGTCTAATGGTTATGTTTGGGTGAAGAATGGTGTAAGTACAGGTGATCTCCCCCACCTTTTTCTAACTTCCAGTATTTCCCAAACCCTTTCATCAGGTAGTTTATTTTTATTACAGAAATAATCTTTAAAAAATACCTAAAATAGTAGCTAGCACCTGAGGCATAAATACAAATAATGCTTCTCAAAATTAGCATTCTGAATACAACTATGTATCACAAAAAAGTGATGCCTCAAATTAATCAGATATTAATTTATATGAAGTTTTGTTTTGCCTTTTTGCAGGACGTCTTGAAATCTTTATGGTAATACACACTAATAATACTCAACAGGAGATAGAGAGGGAAGTTGCCCCTAAAAGCTTTCTTTTTCTCTCTTTTTAGTGGCAATTTATATCTCACAGAACAATTCTGTCAAAACACCCAGAGTTGGGAAAAAAAGTTTTTAGTCATCTGTTCAGAAAAAAATTACCTGGGAGCAATACGCTCTTTTCTTTGGAACAAAATAGCTTTCACCATTGATGATTACACATTTATGTAGAAAGAAAAACATTATTTAAAAGATTAATACAAATTTGTATCAAAAATTATGTATTACTAATACAAGAGCTTTGTAAGTAGCTGGCTTAAGAAACTAAAACTGGAAAGTTTAATAAAGGAGGACTACTGACTCCACCCACATATTAAAGCATAAAATGACTAGAGTAAAACAGTTGGGTAATGGTGACAAATCAACCACTGGATCATGATGGCTCAGACAGAAAACAATATATAGAAAAATAGCAAATAATAAAGGTGGCATTTCAAATCAGACTGGTGGATTAGTCAATGTATGGTGTTGGAGTAAATGTAGTCCTCTTAGAAAAACTGCAAAAAGTCAACTTTATAAAACAAAGTTACCCTTTCTACCCAAGTAAATTTCAGGTAAGTCAAAGATTTAAACATTAAAAACAAAAACATAAAGAACTAAAGGAAAACAGTGAAATATCTTTGCAAGGCAAAGGTTCTTCAGAAGCATTTAAAAGAATAAACTTTATTTATAAAATTTAAATTTGTGAATGAGAAAAGCATAATCAAAGTCAAAAGGCAAACTTTAAAAAAAATCTCCAACACATACAGAAAAGTACCAAAGTTATTAAAATAAAATCTAGTCAATAACGACCAGCCACTCAAAAAGACAGAGCAAAATATTCAAACAATCCATAGAAAAACAGCAACAATGAAGTTTAAATACTCTAAAGACAAACAAATGTGAACATTAAGACAGAAATCAAACATGTTTTATAACATTGCCCTGGCAAGGGTATGGAGAAACAGACATTCTATTGCTGTCAGGGGCAAGTATTAATAATCATCACAATTAGTATGTCTGACCCTGAGTTTCATGCCTGGCAACTTACCCTATTGCACATACGCAAAGATATATACTGAAGAATAGTCAGCTTTATTTTGTTGCATAAGACCAGAAATTATTTAAATAATCGTGTATAAAAGAACTAGCTATATTATGAAATTTGTAGTCACTAAAAAAACATGGCAGGGCAAGTCTTTAGATAGTTCTATATATACATGGAACAATCTCCATAGTAACTGGGTTTAAAAAAAAAGGGATGGTCTGGGGAGACACACACACACACACTCTAAACTGTATTCAGTTCTGCTGTTTGAATTTTTACTATTCACCTGAGAAGTATCTGCTCAGTGCCTGGTATGTGCCAAACATTTCTGAAGGGGCATTTGGAATACAACAAAATCAAGACTTCCTTTAAAAAGTTAACTTCTTGAAAAAAATTAAAAATATTTTTAAATAAACCAGGATCTTAGTTCATAAAATACAACTATAAAATGTTAATGATAAAATAAGTTTATCTAATACAGGAACTTTAAATCAGAAACTAAACAACTAATCTATACTTGAGTTGCTTTAGTTAATCAACACTATGTATTTCAAAGCAGTCTGATGCAAAGGCAAAAACAGTCAAGATCCACTTGATGAAAATTAACCTACCAAATAGATAATGTATACCATAATCTGTAAGAGAACAAAGAAAACTTGTAAGACAGTACCTAATATTTGATCATCAGAACCCAACCAACAAGGAGTATAAACATCTCCTTATTAATTAAAATAACCCATTCCTTTAGTGATTCTCTACCCTGGCAGCCCAGTATCACCTGGAGGAAAAGGGGATTTTAAAAGAGATACTCAAGACCCTTCTAGGTAAGAATTTTTGGGATGGGCCTAGACCATCACTATTTTTTCTTTTTTTTTAACTCTCCAGTTGGTTTTAACACACAGCCTCAGTTGAAAACCATGGCTCTCCTGGGGTTCCTAACCTTTTTTTTGGTGCCAGAGAACCTTTTTGCAGTCTAGTGAAGCCTATGGGCCTTTTCTCAGAAAGTTCTTAAATACACAATATAAACAATGAGGGATTTCAAAGAAAACCAATTATATTGAAATATAATTATTGAAATATTTTTAAACAAAGTTTATATAGTAAAAGATACTTAACAAATTAAGTAACAAGACCTAGTGGCAAGTCTAGTGATGTGTGCAACAATATCTGGATTTATGTCCCAGTTGCAGTTGTTGCTAACACTACTCCTATGGTTTCTTGTCTACATTCGAAACAAAAGGAAGGGTTCGATTTCAGTTAGAGATTAGTGAAAAAAACAAGTGTTAATTTTCTCATCCAAGTTCATGGAAGTCCTAAAATTCTCTCCATAAACACCAGAGGAAAGGACCTAGGAATCTATGTGTAGCATGCTGGAGATCAGAAGTAAAGAGTATTTGCTTAGCACCTGCTATGTCAGGCATTAATTGTCACTCTCTGTTAAGTAATTAATAACCCCATTTCCTAATAAGAAATAAAATTACATGAATCTGCCCCAAGTCCAGTTAGAATCTGGCAGAACCATGGCTAAAAAGCTCTTTTCAAAATCTGTTACATCCCTAAATTTTCCCCTGGACAAGAGCATAGTTAAATGTTCACAAAACAATCTACACACACAGATAATTCTCAATCAAGTGCACTATTCAACAATGGAAGCTAACCAAAATGGCCAACCATATACTCTGGCAGTTATGACATTTAATGCCCATAATAATGTCATTCATTATCAAAGCTATGAACCAGTTGGATAGTCAACAGTTTAACATTTCTGATTTCTGGCCTGGTTACCATATTGCTATAAGGCAAAGGAAAACTGAACACTGCTCTTGCATGAAAAAGGAAACTGGGCCTACATAGGAAATGGGAGTTGTGTTGTAATGCTGCCAGTTTAGAGGAACAGGTCACTTTAAGAAAACTTTTATGGGATGTTTCCAATGCCCATTTGTACTGGAGTGAGGTCAGAACTCTTGCTTAGTATAGTAAAAGAACAGCTGTCCCATACTTTTATGTCCCTAAAACATATTACTATCCCCAAAACATATTACTGTAAGAAACTATCAAAATCCAGTTTTTGCCTATGGAATAAACTCTAATCCCATTATCAATCTTTAGGCAATGTTAATTTGGAGTAGGATTAGATCCCCAAATCAAATAAGCAGAAAGGCGGGACTAGCTCTCAAAGCTTGCATATTACTAATGACACTAGCATGCCTTTAGGAACTTCTTTAATTTCAGTTTCAAAAATTAGCAAAATAACACAACTGTACAGAGAATAGAGATACACACCAATATACAGTATTAAGCTCAAAAAACTTTAAAAAATGTGAACTAAATGATACTCTTAAAAAGTGTAGAGAGAAAAGTTACTGAGAAACTATTGCTAACATCTGTTCTATGAATTGTTTTTCTAGTAGTACACTGCTAAAATATCAACTGATTTATTTTCTTATGAATAAAGGTACATGTCAATGACTAGAAGTATGGAGGTACAGTAAAT